GAGTTAAAAATTGTAATAAATGCTATATAAATAAGTTTAATGTTTAATCTAAAGGGCGATCAGGAATAGAACACAACAAAGTTGCAAGATAATTTTTGTAAAGAGTAAAAATGAGAATAAAGTATCTTTAAATATTGCTGAAGACAAAGTGTGTATGTGCGAGAGAGAGAGAGAGAGAATGTACACATGATATTGTGTCAAACTAAGAATAACAACAAACACCCCTTGCACAGGGTGAAGGAAAGGAGCCAGGGAGTGAAGAGACTCCCCGGAACCGCAGCAGCGTGGATGGCTCTGGATCCTGACGTTCAGGGAAACACCCACGGGAACAAAGCTAAGCTCAATGGCAGCAGAGAACAGTATGGTGATTTCCAGGAGCTGTGGAGGATGAGGGAAGCCGGTGAGTCAAGATCACCATGACGGAAGGGGAGGCGTGCTCAGGTGAACTATGGCAAAGAGCCCTTACAGTTCCAAAAAGTTCATCACCAGGAAGTGACAGATGGAATGATGGGTAAACTGAGACTGATGATTTGATGATTATACAATGTACAATGTGCCAAAACGTCACACTGTACCCCACAAAAACTTATAGTTATTATCTGTCAATTAAAACTGTGCTTTTATGTACATGGACTCTTTCCTCACCATCTTGGATTCCTACCTGATAACACTGCTTCTAAGTGAAAATTTATTAAATAAAAAAGTATTTTTCTTGTATTTGTAGATTTACTTTCCCTTGGTTTCAATTAAAAGATTTTAATATTTGTGTACATATGTTTCTGTGCAAGACTTAGCTGACATGCATGTGGGGGCCAGAGGACAACATTTTCTTTGAAGAAAAATTAGTCTGTTTATTTCTTTAGGAATAACTTGTATTTCATTTTTTTAAACTTATTTATCTTATTATTGAGATTATAATTACATCATTTCCCCCTTCTCTCTCCTCCCTCCAAGTCCTCCCATATACCCCTCCTTGTGCTCTTTCAAATTCATGGCCTCTGTTTTCATTAGTTGTGGTTACATGCATATATGTATATGTACACTCACAGAGAATCCTAAATACAACCCGCTCAGTCTGCATAATGTTATGTCTGTGTATAGTTCCAGGGCTGACCATTTGGTACTGGATAAACAATTGGTGTTTCTCCTGTTCTCAGCATTTCTTAGTTTGTTGTGTAGGAATGAGGGCCCACGGACTCCTCCCCACCCCCATCCTATCCACCTAGGGATGTCTGTTGGTGTCATCTTTGTCCAGCTCATGGTTAGGCAGTCATGTCGGTGAGACTTTATGGGTGTAGCTTCTGATACTCTTGGGAGACTCAATCTCCCAGTAAACTCTCTGATCCTTTGGCTCTTACAGTCTTTCCTCCTTTCTGAAATGATCCCTGACCTTTAGGTTCCAGAGTTGTTTTGTAGATGTTTCCATGGGACTGGGTTCCACAGCTCTGCATTTGATTGGTTGTGCTTTTCTGTAATGGCCTCTGTCTGTGGCAAAGAGAGGTTTCCTTGATGTGGCATGAAGACCACGCCTACTATGGGTATAAGGACAAATATTTAGAATGTAGCAGGGGTTATGCTGCTTTGGTAAAGTGGTGGTGGTAGGCTTTCCTCCAAGATCCATGACTTCTCTAGCCCTGGAGAATTGGCTAGGTTTCTAGTACAAGTGTGGTTTCTCCTCTTCCTGAGTGGGTCTTAAGTTTGATTAGAGAACCGTTGACAGTGCCAGGGTAGGCATGTCCCTATTGCACCCTTAGGCTTATCTTGCCATGCTTGCCATTGTTGTGGTTCATAATCATCAGAGTTGGGTAGAGCTGTTGGTGGCTTTCTTCATCTGGAAGCTTACATGGCGGCTCCTGGGACCACGGAAACTAGTCCAGAAGCTAACTTTGGGGAATCAGTTCTCTCCTTCTTTCCTGTGGGTTTCAAGGCTAGAACTCAGGCCGCCAGACTTGGTGGCAAACACTTCAATCCCCTGAGCGATCTCACTCAGCCTGTTTTAGTCTGCTTTGTTGTGTTTTGAGATGGGGTCTCACTGGCTAACCCAGGTTAACTGAAATTGGAGGTCCTCCTGCCTCTGTTTCTGGAGTGCTGGGACTACAGGAATAAGCCACCACACCGTGCTTCATCCAATTTTAGTGAAATATAAGATTAATTTAACCTCAATTCAAGATATCTAACCAATGTTCACAGATGAAAACACATCAGTTAGATGCTTAAGGAAGATTTATTTAAGTGATACACAATCGGAAAATTATAAATGCAATTTGTAGATAAAAAGAGACAACAAGAAGGGGAAGGGCTCTTGGAAGGTGGTGGTAGGTAGGAGGGGTCGCGGTGTAAAAAGTGGGGACAGTGAGTGGTTGACTCGGAAAGTGGTGCTTCTGGGCTCATGAGTGCATTCAAACCACACTGAACAGTGAAGAAGAAACACAGGAAACCCTCTTTGGGGAGTTCAAAGATGGTTCTGGAAAACATGCAAAAACTTCACATGCATATCTCAAATTGAGAAGCCAAGACCTGCACTGCCTGTCTGTTCCAGCACCATGGGTTTGCACACAGGCAAATATTTGGGGTCCATCCAAAGGGCACAGTTCAAATCCGTGACATATGACATTTGCTGACTGACCAGAAACTGTTGCATCAAGTGAACAGAGTGAGCCCTCAGATAGATACCAGAGCATCAGCATAGGATTTCTCATGGAGTGCTTCATTGCTGTTGTTATTATTATCATTACTATTACTATTATTATTTTTTATTATTATTAACAAAAACCATTAGGCCAAAAATTAAATAAAGACGTGCCACTGTCTGAAAAACAAGTTGAACTTTCCAAGACATTATGGGGAACTATAATTCATTAACTGGAAGTCTCTCTGTCATGTTAGCCTGCACAAATATGCCAGCGTCTGGAATGTGGTATGAGTCTTTCGGAAATGAGGAATGTGGTTTGGGATGTGTCATTTGTATGGGTCATTTCACTTTCCTGGATCAAGTCCAGGATTTTTTCATAATGAGCCTGCTTTTTAATTTTTCTAATTTTAATTTCCATTAAAGAGACAATTTACCGGTAGCTAAAAGATTTATGTGAGCACAGGATGGGTTTAAGATAATTGTGGAATGCAGAGTGCATACACAAAAAGGTTACAGAGAAGCAGTGCGGCCATGGCACGTTTGTCAGGACCAGAGGAGTCTGAGGATGCAGCAGTCATCCGCCGGTGTGCGGTCCCTTTGTGTATAACAGCTCGGTTGTATTCACAGGCATTTACATATCTGCAGGCATTAAGCATTCCATTTTGTTAGAGCATGGGAAACTTTTGACATTAGGAAATGAAAATGCCTTGGATGTGACTTGCTAATTGCTTGGCCTTAGCTGTTAAGCAGTCAGCAGCATCTTCTGAGGGAATGAGGGAGAAGGCTGAATGCTGGGCTCCCCCAACTCTCAGTAGACTAGGCTACCTCTGCCAGAGAGCGAACACTGGGTGCTCTCGTTTCTGAGTGACATTGCTGTAAGCTTAGCATCTCAGGCAAGTCGGAGTGAAGTGGCAAAGCATAATTTTAATTTTTGCCATCAAGTATGTGGGAAATAGGAAACAATACATTTAAGAAAATATCTGACTAGAAAACAGCAGAGAGGCTCTAAAAATAAAGCACTCTTTTTGGAGTTCTTTAAACAGCCCACTGACTGAAACCAGAGCTCAAAGGGGAAGAAACCTTCGGTGATTTGTTTGATTTTTTTCTTTTTTTTGGCTGGCAAAGGTGGGGGCTGGAGGAGAGCCTAAGGCAGGCCTGTCTCCCTCCTCTGCAGTTCTGCTGTGGATTTATCGGCTGGGTGCTTGCCTCTCCGTCATACATTATGCACTCCCTCTAGTGTCAGAGTTTGTATATGATCCCAAACCCAGTTTGACAAAGTGCTGCTGTAGACATTAGAGTAGGGTTCAGGCTCCTAATTATGCCATATTTCAAAGATATTAAAGGCCACCCAATAACACAAAGAACAGCCCTGTGTGAAGTCTCCCGGGCTCAGAAAGGATGCATATTTTAACCTGTGCTAGAGAGAGACTCTCCATAGTTCTTCCTTCCTCCTCCACCCAAGTGACTTATAAATAAGCATAGCACTTTATTAAGGTTTTAAAGTCCTTTAATAAACTGAAGTATTTATTAAATCCTAAATTCTCCGACACAAAGAAACCCCTGCACAAAATCAAATAACCCACCACACATGAAAGAAAGTCTCAGGAAGTCAAGCCTGTGGAAATGTGAAATGTGTTGTCAAGATTTTGTACACGTTCATTACCCAGCTGTTTCCCAGGCCTTTCAGGAACCAGGAATGAAGCTGCACATCACACAAACACTGCTGCTGGTCGCCTGTCCACTCTAGGTCCTCTCTTTCTTCTCCCTGGCTCTTCCAGCTCTTTCCAGCCAATGCAGAGGCCTGTAGGAAGGCTGACATCAAGTCTCAGCTGCAGGGTGGCCCTGAGTGACCTGCAGAGAGTCCCCTGTCCTTCCTCCTGGGGGTTTAGGAAGAGACATGTGGCCCAATTCTGGCCAATGTCATGCATCAAGGGAAGTCTTCATTCTGGGAAAGCCTCCAGAAGTGACACTTTCAGACACGAGTGGAGCTTGTGCTTCGACAGAAATCCTGTCACTCAGTATGAGGATGAGATGGGCACTGTGTTTGTGTGGGTAGAAGAGGCTGCTGGGCTAGAAGCTTCTACAGAAATTCATTTTAGAGCTCCCCTTATGGCTAGCGTTATAGGTATGGGGCTAACACATGTTCAGGCCAACCTGAGACTTTTTATTGCTTGTAGTTAAAATTAGTGCCATATTGTTATCATATTTAAGTAAGCCATCTTCTGATATTGAAGACCCAATTACATATAAACACAATTGCACATTCCCCCTCATGCTGTTTCAGAAAATACAGTAGAATACAATGGTTAGTTAGGGCAGGTTGTGTCCATTATGTACTATTATTTATGAATTACCCAAACTCAATAGCTTAAATTGTTGTAATTAACATTTATTCTCTCACAGTATTTATGTGGATCTAGGACTCAGGAGCTGCCTGGCTTGTGTGGTTTCTGTGAAAACATCCACAGGGGATGGGTTTATCTGACAGCTTGTCACTGCTATTGGGGGGTCCCCAGGACATGACAACTGGCTGCCCACAGAATTGAGTGATCCATCCAGACAGGAGCCATTCTCTTCTGGTCCAGCCTTCAGAAACCACATGGCCTTGTTCTTTACTATATTCCACTCGCTAGAAGAGAGTTTCTGAATTTGGAGAGGAGAAGAATATATTTTTTGTTAGTAAAATTTTAATGTAATTAATAATTTAAAATTATTTTTAATTATCAAATTTTATTTTGGAAGCATATTTAGGTTTACAGAAAAGTTAATCACATGGCACACAGCCTCCATGAACCCTCTGTTCTCACACATAGTCTCTCCTACCACCAGCATCCGTGCCTGGGCAGCTTATTTACTGTAATTGATGAACCTTTCCTGATGCATCATTATCATCCAAAGCCTATGGTTCACATTGGGTTTGTCCTGTAGAGTCCATGGCTTTTGATGAGTGTATGACATTTAGTCACCATTTGCCATTGTAATATGATACAAAATAGGTTCGTTGCCCTAGAAACATCAACTCTGCCTCAGTATCCCTTTACATCCCATAACCCTTTTTGATCTTTTTACTGAGTCATCGTTTACACCTTCCCAGATGGTTGGCTGGCTGGCTGATATCAAACCATTACTATTCTTCTCATGTTGTCTTCTCTAGCTTAATAATATGCATTTGAGTTTCTGCTGCATCTTTTTCCTATATATGAGGTCATTCCTTTATATGAGAAACACTATCCATCGGATGAATACACCACAGTTTATTTATCTATATATCTACTGAGCAGGCACATCTGGGTTGCTTCTTAGGGACTATGTTAATTTTGTAAGAAAGAGCCAAATTGTCTTTCAAAGTGGCTGTGTCTTCATTTGGAGTTGAAAGTGTTTTAGATTTGGACATTTTTAATAGTGCCTCGCTGTATTTCATTCTTTTAATTTGCAATTTTCTCATTGCACATTATGTTATAGTTGCCTCATTTGCTTACTTGTTGGCTGTGCATATTTGCTGAGGTATCTGTTGAGGTGCTTTTATGGGTTTTTAATTGGTTTTAAATTTTTCCTATTGTTGAATTTTAGGTGTTTTTTGAATATTATGGAAAACATTTTTAGTTAGTTCTTTTATTTGTTGCTTTTGGAGGCAAGAGTCACTGTGTAGTCCAGTTAGCTCCAAACTCACCCTCCTTCTGCTTTGGCCTCCCCAGTATGGGTGTTAGAGTGGTCTAATGCCATTCACAGCTTTGGAATATGTCAGGTGTGTTCTTTCAAGAAAGTGTCTCTCCCAGCCTGATCCTTGTTTTCTCATTGTTTTGACACTGTCATTTCCAAAACAGAACTTTTCAAGGAAGTTTAGCTTCTCACTTCTTTAATAGAAGTCATTTCTGCATCCAAGACCATTTAGGATTTCTGCAATATCTCCTAGCATTTTTACAGTTCTGCCCTTATATTGAGGTCGATGATGCTTTCATGTTCATTGTCCAGATTTATCTCTGTGTTTATTTAACCATGGGTGCTTGGCTGTTTCAGCACCATTTCCTGAAGAGGCATCTTTTCTTCATGGTATTGGTATTTTCAGATATCAAATACAGACTCTCTTTACCCAAGAGATCTACTAGTCTCTTCTTTTACTAACTTTGAGACAAAAGAGTCCTGTTTGGTTCTAAGATCAGGTCTGAGTAACAGGAAGCTCTGCATTTTTGATAACTGAGATGTGGAAGGCAGTAGAAAATAATAATAATAATAATTAATAATAATAATAATAAAACCCATGTGTTTATTTTGGAATGGGTTAAATTTGAGATAGCTAGCTGGGTGGTGGTGGAACACAACTTTAATCCCAGCACTCAGGAGGCAGAGGCAAGTTGATCTCCATGAATTTGAGGCTAGCCTGGTCTACAGAGTGAGTTCCAGGACATCAAGAGCTACAAAGAGAAACCCTGTCTCAAAAAAACATAAACTAACAAACAAAGAAATGAATGAATAAATAAATAAATTTGAGATAGCTGCTATATATCCAAGTAGAGACGTGTCAATGACTGTTGGCTACAAGCCTGGAGTTGGGCTATGGAAATGTTGTTTTGGTACAGTGCTGTGCATATGATATTGAAAGCCTGAGGACAAGACCACATATTAGGGAAGTGAAGACAGGGAAGAGAAGACATATTATTAAAGAGGGGAAAACAGAAGAAATCTGAAAACAAGACCATGGAGTGGCTGAGGAAGAGAGTGACGTCATACAGGCTTTATCAACAAACTTAACAGAATGTTTCTTTTAGGAGGCTGAGTTAGCAACTAGTTGACAGAAAGTAGTCATAGAGCATCAGAGGGCCTCTGGAAGAGATAGAGAGAGGCACCAGAAGTAGTAGTAGGGATTTGGAATAGGGAGGCTTTTTTTGTTTTGGTGGAGTGGAAGGATGCAATCTTTTAGAGAGGCCAGTAAGGAGAGAAGGTCAGCTAGTTGCTACTCAACCTTTCTGAGCTAGCGGGTTTCCACCCCAGCCTTTGAATCGCGAGTCTTATTTATAAATAGAATAATAGAGATTCCATTAAAGCTACCTTTATCAGCAGCAGCAGAGCCAGTGCCTGCAGGAGCAGAATTCATGCCAGGCTGTGGCCTAAGCCGCAGGGCTGCTGCCAGAGAAGCAGGTCTGTAACTGCAGAGTCACAGTTGCTGGCTGAAATAGCAATAGATGAAGTTGCAGCCACTGTGCCAAAGACAAAGCAACCATTTTCAATGAATTTGGTAAAATGGGGTTCTTTGGAGATCCCTGACGATTTGGTTTCAGTTGAGTGGAGAAGACAACAGCCTGATTGAAGTTAATTCAAGAAAGAAACAAGAAAATCTGAATACCACCCCCACTCTGTATGTGTGTGTGTATGTGTGTGTGTTGTTTGTATACATGTGGAGGGCAGAGGTTGATGTCATTATCTTCCTTAATCACCATTTTTCTGCTTTTTTTTTTTTTTTTTGAGCAGGGTCTTCCTCTGAAACTGGAGCTCATTGATTCTGCCTGACTGGACTGCTGGCCACTGAGTCCCTGGGGTTCACCTCCTACTCCCCAAAACACACACCAAACTCTGGGCTTACAGATGCCTCTGCTTTTATGTGAGTAATAGAGATTTGAACTCAGATCCTCACGCACTCATGATTTGAATCAGTCACTTTAACTGACGGTGCTACCTACATACCTCCAGGTCAGAGTTTTGTGGTCCTATTTACAATGATGCTGATCAGCACAGTTGTGTGTGTTCCTTCAGCTATATCCAATGGCTTGGGTGCTAGTGAGAAGTGGGTTGAGGACCCTATTTAACCAAGGTTGTATTTTTCAAGGAATGAAACAGTGAGTATGAAGATGAGCCAACCAATGCAAGCTAGCAGAGAAAGAAGCGGAGGGTATAATGATAAAGGCTACGTGGGCAGTAAAAAGTAGTCAACAGAGTAGCGGTCTGATAGGATTGGAGAACTGAAACAGATGACCGTGGAGGAGATAAAAATATGGGAGATGATAGTTCAAGTGGTAGGAATAAAATGGAGATGATGATGAGAGTGTGCTCATCAAGGAAGATTCAGTCCAAACCACGTCCACAGCAATGGCTAGGCTGATGGTGGAGAGCATGGGCCAGTGGTTCTCAACCTTCCTAATGTTGTACCCCTTTAGTACAGTTTCTTATGCTGTAGTGATCCCCCACCATAAAATTATTTTCATTGCTACTTCATAACTGTAATTTTACTACTGTTATGAATCATAATGTAAGTAGCTAATATGCAGGATATCTGATATATGACTCCTGTGAAAGGGTCATTTGACCTCCCAAAGCGCCATGTCCCACAGGTTGAGAACCACTCGTATAGACGGTCCTGGCTGGTGTGGAAATCAAGGATGAGAAGTCAAGGTTTTTCAAGAATCGTCTATATGGATTCTGAAGCCACCAATATTAATAAGGAATCATGTTGAGGAGGAAAGAGTGGATCAGATGCTAAAATGGGATGAGAAGTGGCCTGAAGGTATGTGGTGACTGTGACAATTTTACCACAGTCTTTAAAGGCAACAACAGTACATGAAACGCGAGTCTCAGCGTAGAACTGTAGCTCACTTAACGTCTGCAGAGGCGGTGAGGGAGGTCATTTATCTTTGCTGGCAGATAAGCATAATAGCTCTTTTATAGATATAGTTAGTGCAGGGAACCATAATACCCTAGAATTTCCTGGAAGTGCCTGAGGGACTTGAGCAGTAGGGGTGAAGCAGAGGGTGATGCAAGGAGGCTTGTCTTGTGAAATGGGGAATGAAAGATGGTCTCCAAGTCCACCCAACCCCCAAATCTCCGCTTTTAATTTTTCTCTTCAAGGCTAACATATATATATATATATATATATATATATATATATACATATATATATTATACATATATGTATACATATATGTAAAAACTTTGATTATATTACAATTCTTCATATACAGATATACATACACCTAGTGTGTATGTATGTTTAGCATGTGTGTCTTCATGCTCACATGTGGAAGCCAGAGGAGGATGTTCTCTGTCGTCCTGTACTGTGCTCCATCTCATTTTTTGAGACAGGTCTCTCACTGAAACTGAAACACACAGTTTTGGTCAGGCTGGCTAGTCAGTGAGCTCCTGGGATCTGCCTCCCCCAATGCTGGGGTTACAGACACTCATGGTGCTGGGGATTTGAACTCAGATCCTTTTGTTTGTGTTGTATACAAGTGCTCTTATCTAATGAGTAATCCCTCCAGCCCCACACAACTCTTGCAAACCTTTCTGTTTGTAAGGTTAAGATACGAAGATGATTCCAGACACGTCCATTGCAGCTACATCCAGTTTCCTCTATGGGTTTTAATCTTGAAGAACAATTATGATAAGGTGCCTATGGCTTCAATCATGACCTATCTGTAACTGTGAAATAATGAGTTGGGCTATAAAAATATTCTAGTCTATTTCAAATAAACTTTTCATGAATTCCACTTATATTGGGAGCAATTTATCACTCCCATTTCATTTGCAAATGGAAGTTTCCTTTGGTTTCAGCAGAGGAAACTGAAAACGGAGGTGTGTAACACAGCCAGACAAATATAGCCACTGACTCCTTTTCCTTGTTTTTCGATGATTTAATTTTATTGTGGCATATGTTTTGTCAAGATGTTGTGACATTACCTCGGGGTAGGCTGACACATTATTCTGACTTTACAGTCTAAATGTTTTGACTCAGAGAATGTCTCCTTCAGGACAAACACTGAATGCTGGCAAATCCTTTTGCTAAAATGCCTCCTGGATTACGTAGCGTTCATCCCCAAAGACAAAGTCTGACCGCAGAAACCTTGGTTTTTGTTGGCTTTAAATCGTAGAGAAAGGCTTGGCGTTTTATGATCGCCTCTCTGTGTGAGAGGTGAGAGATCAATCTTGTCTCTATGGATCTTCTCCTGGGACTGTGATCTTGTCTCTCTTAACAACAGACTTCAAAAAGTGTCCCAGGAGAAGAAATTGATCGAATACCAACCTCCCTGCTCCAGCGAGCTGTGTGCAGGGAGCAAACAGGCTTGGTTTGCCCAATATTTGCACAAATTGGCTTGGAGATAATGTTATTGGTCTGGCTCTCTGAAGTTCCAGCATGCCAGGGTGTCACCTACTCCAGGGACCTTATGCTGACTGGATTTGACCTCCCTGTAGCTGGATATGCAGAGTGGCACATTGGAAGATAAGCAGGCAGCTGATTTGATTCATGTGGAACTCTGGACCGGCTGTGTGCTGTTGATCCTTCCCTCTGTTTCCTGAAGAAGGTTCCAAAGAATCTTTGGTGGATTTGTGTGGGAGTTGGGCTCCATAGCTGAGAAGCTGGACAGTGGCTCAGGTCTCTCTTCCTCTCGGCTGGCATTAATGAGGCTTAGTTGCCAGCTCCCACCAATGCAGCTCGTAGTCTCCATCCCTGTGGGTCTTGTGGCCTTGTTTGACCACTGTGACTAAGAAGGAGCTGAAGATGAAGAAGGATAGACATTTAGGCCGGAATACCTAGTCATCTTGCACAAACCTACCCTCACATACGTGTATGTGTGGTGGGGGCTATTCTTTATTCAAATAGGGCAGAGCATGAACTCCCCTTACTCCATATCCAATAACACAAGCGTGACAGGCCACTTCCATAGGCACAGAGGCAGCTGGGACACTGTATCTGGAATAGAAAGATTTCAAGACCTGGCTCGGCTACTAACGTGCGACCATCAGACCAGCACTTAACTTACATGAGTTTCAACCTTCCATCTCCCCACAGCAGGTGGGAAGTCTCAAGTGGAATGTTCTGATGGCTGTTCAGATGCAAAAGTTACTGATTATGAAGGCAATTGTGTGTACCGGACAGACACTCGAAGATCATTGTTGTTTACAGATGAACAGGTGCTGAGTGCTTCCTATGGGATGAGCTCACTGCTCATCCAATGCCCAACGTACTTCCTGACGTATTTGCTACTTGTTTGGTGAAGGAATAAAGGAAGTACAAGCATGTGATGTAATCAAATGTTCAGAGACATGAGTGTGGGGTTAGCTGGCCTTACACTGATGGCCCCACCAGATGTATGCACACACTCATATCAGTTACTTGGTTAGGGTAGTTTAAGTATTCCCATGTGCTATGGTGTAAACAGGTGGCCCAGTAGGTTGGTGCCATGGCAGACCTACAGCACAAGGACCACTGGAAGGATGTCTTGGGGAATCGAGGGATGTGGGGGAGACGATAGAGGGGGTGACTTGAGGAGCCTTTGCTTCCATGTGGGCCCCTTTGTTTTCTTCTGAATTGGTTCTAGACATGCCCAAGGACAGTCATGGGTCTTGGTGTGCTGGGGAATGCCAACCAGTGCTGGTGCTCACTTCCGGTGACTGACTGAGAATGTTCTCTGAAGACATGTATAGCCATCAGTGTTCTCGCCACACTTGGAGGAAAGAGGATTTACTTCCAAGTTCAGCACCTCAAGTTCTTACTCCTAAGATATAGAAGGCCGGAGTGTCACCCCATCTTAACAGATAAAACATTTCATAAACAACAAAGGCATAATTGTTGAAGTCATTAGAAATGGACAACCTAATGGTCTGAAATCCAAAATGAGGCAAAGCCTTCTAGGGATAAGTGGGAGGATAATTCCTGTTGGGCTGAGGAGAAACCAGGAACACACAGTGAGCATGGAGTCACCTAAAACTTTGAACAATTGCAAAGGCCAAATGCAGACTAGAGTGGGCACAGGCAGATTGCTCCATATCACCCACCAGATGCTCAATGAACCCCAGGCACTGTGTAGAGACAGGTCTGGAGGAGGGAAGGATCGCCCTTCTCTAGGAGGTAGAGTTCAACACCCTTCCCTGTGAGGGTGACTGGCTTTGAAGGAACAGAGAAAGTAAAATTGCAAGCCCACCATGGAGAAAACTTAGAAGTCATCGAGCTCACTATGACCAATGTAGATGTGATGGTTTGATGCTATGGCAAGGACACCTCACCTCTGTGGCATTTATCCCCCAAGTACATAACCCCAATCTCATCATAAGAAAAGGTAAGGCAAGCTCAGACTGATGGTAACACTGGATAGCTTGCTAGGACTCTATTACAAAGTTCAAAGGTCATGACAAAGGAAGA